AATACGACAAACGTAGAAAGTGCAATGATGAAAAACCAGGAGTTTGCCCCGGACCGTGGTTTTCATGTTTATATTGAAAAATGTAAAAGTTTTGACTGCAAGGATCAGAAGTTTCAAAACGGTTAAAGAATTAAAGGGGTAGGAATTAATAAATTTTTAGAAAATGATTCAAAGTTGTCAAACCGTTAAAGTTTTGTGGTCAAACTTTAAATATTAAAAAGGTTCCTAAAAAGTGTAAAATATTGATTGCAAGGACCAAAAATATCAAAATATGTAACGAATTAGGAGCAAAGTGCAGGGATCATTTCTGCCAAAAAAATGTCCGGTTTACTATTCCTAAGCTTTATATATATATATATATATATATATATATATATATATATATATATATATATATATATATATATATATATATATATATATATATATATATATATATAGGGGAGGGTTCAATTGAGAAAAAAAAAAGGTTAAGAATGAGGGAATCATTCTCAGCCAATCATTTATTTTTGCCGCAAAAGGCTTCAATGTACTGGCGGAAATGAGAAATGAATGCACATGTGTTTTCCAACATAACATATTTCCTTAAACTATGCTAATCATTACCTTAATATATACAAAAACATAGTTTTTTTTCGTTTTTCTTTTTATTTTTATAAGCTATTTTTATTAAAAAAATGATTTTAAATATACCAAACTTCATGATTTTTTATTCTCTATAAATAGACATCCATATTGATATAGTTTTTAGATAAAATAAAAATTTTATTTTTTTATATTTTCAGCTATCGTTATTCTTAAATGAATAACAATGCATCAGGTTTTATTACAGTACATTCGTTATTCACTTATGAATAAAAAATATGTTTTTTTTTTTTACAATTTAAGTATCATTCATATATCAATATAGCATATAATAAACATAGTATATTCATATTTTAATATTGGACGATGAATTCACTTGTGAATATTAACATAGTATATTCACTTGTGAATATTAGATGGTATATTCACTTATGAGTATTAAATTATATTTCATATGTGAATATTACATAGTATTACATGGTATATCAAATGTGAATATTACAGAGTATATTCACTTGTGAATATTAGATGATATATTCACTTATGAATATTACATAGTATATTCACATATGAATATTACAAGGTATATTCACTTATGAATATTACAAGGTATATTCACTTATGAATATTGAAGGTATTTTGACAAATATATATAATTTTTATATGTTATTCACATATGAATAACATACAGACTTGCATATTTGTTTTGTGTTTTTAATAATCATATATTGATTCAGGTGAGAAACACATATTCATATGTGAATATAACGTGGTAATTTAGTTTATGCATTTCATCAAACAGTTGGAGTGCAAACAAGTTAACTATTTTAAAAATGTTAAAAACATCAAGTTATCAATTCCAAATCATCATATACTTCCGATTTCGACTTTAGATGCGACACCCTATCTCTGATCGATTTCTTAATTTGATTTTGATTCTCGAAAATCCGATTGGAACCTGTGAGTACCGATTCGAAGTCCCTCAATGTCGACTGTGATTGCGAGTCCAGAACTCCGATTCCAATTTCATGAACATCGAAGAAATTCCGGTTTAGTTAAAGAAATCTGGATGATTATTGAAGGTTGAAGGAAAAAATTTGATGATGAACGAACAGTTATCGAATTCTCTATAGTTACGTATTTGAGATTGAAGGTTATTAGTAGATTTACAAGTTTGTCACCGTGTCTTTTATGCTTAGATTAAATGAATGGCTGAGAATGATTCCCCCATTCTCAACCTTTTTTATTTTCTCAATTGAACCCACCTATATATATATATATATATATATATATATATATATATATTATATATATATATATATATATATATATATATATATATATATATATATATATATATATATACACACACACAATTAAGAAACACTTTTCTATATTTATCATTAGGATTATTTTCTACCCTTTTGTGAGTTTTACCTAATAAATTTTAGATACGTTATTAATTACATATTCTTTAAAAGCCATCAATTAATGCTCATAAAATTGAATAAATGAAAGTCAATAAATCATGAAATGAATAAGCGCTTGCAATTTTGTGTGGATGTAAGATGTTTCAAATTTAAGTTGATTGAAGGGCATAAGGGCAAATGGATTGAAGATTACGTTCTCCACACTTTCAAACTTTCATAATTCTATCAAGGGCTAATATAACGTTTGCAGAATTGCAATGTGCGTAGTTTCTTTTGGTGTATAAAGAAACAAATCTAAACAAACATGCGGTTTTTCTCAAACTATGGGTAGGAACAGACTATTCTTAACATAAATACTGCATTTTAATTATACCAGATACTAATAAAAATCAAAGTTAATTATGTGCAAAATGTTCAATAAAAGATTTGCATAATAGCAGTCTACTTTCTGTTTTTAACCTTTTATAGCAATGTATTTTATATTTATTTAAACAATATAGTTAATTTTTCAACATGGGTAGCCGATAATTACTGATAACCGAAACCATTAACTGATTTAAACTTACATTGAAACGCAATGGTTATAAAATACAATTAATATAATTCTCCCGGTTCTTATGGGAAAAAAATCAAAGGTTTTTTGTGTTGGTCAATATGAACTACAAGAATATAAGACGTAAATATTATACAGACGTTTAATGGTTCTTATTTAAAAATATTATTATGTAATTACCACATAATTATAATCTATTTATGTCATTTCTAATGTAATATATAAATATAAACTAATTACATGTTGGATTAATCGGTTTTATTATTTTAGGAGTTTATTTTGTTTAGTTTAAATATGGTTTAATAGGAAAGTTTTTAGGATTTGTGTTTTGCTAGTTTTGCTATTGGAATAGGTTTTTGTTTTGTTTAGTATAAATAGATGTAAAAGTTTCAGATTGTTTAGTTTTTTAGAATAAAAAATCACAGCAAGTTTTATTTCTTTTTTCTAAAGTGTTCACAACAAGAGTTCAATTTTTTTTTCTTTACCTTGGTGCACAAGGTTTAATACCAACCTTTTGTTAACACTTGGTATTAGAGCGCGGTTTCTTTGAAGGGGGTGTGATTCGAGGTTGATTAGAAGCAACCCCGGTTTCTTTTAATTGGGCTTGTGAGAGACTAACCGGAGGCGCGGAGTAAACGAACGGGAAGACGTCAAAGCGGGTGGCTTTGATTCGGTTCGTTTTGCGGGTGACGGAAGACGGTAAAGGTGGTCGTGACCTTGTCTTGTTGTCCGGTGGAAAACTGCTCTCGGAACAAGCTTGATTAAAGAAGTCGGGGTTAAGGAGAAAAAGATGTCGTTGGTTAAAGAAGGAGGTCCGTTGCCATATCAAGTTCCGGTTTTGACTCCAACGAATTATCCGGTGTGGGCGGTTAAAGTTAAGTCAATTATGGATGCACATGGCATATGGGAGACGGTCGAACCAAAGACGTCAGATAAAGCACTAGATCAAAAGAAGTCAAAACAAGCTCTTGTTTTTTTGTTTCAAGCGATACCCGAAGACATGGTGTTGCAAATGGCGAGTTACACCGACCCAAAGCAAGTGTGGGATGGGCTAAAAACACGGTATTTGGGAGTGGATCGGGTAAGAACGGCTCGACTTGCAACCTTAAAAAGGGAGCTTGAAAGTTTACGCATGAAAGAGGATGAAACGGTTGATGATTTTGTGACGAAATTATCCGATTTAGCATCAAAAGTAAGGAGTCTTGGAGATGAGCTTGAAGAAGGTGACTTGGTAAAAAGGTTACTAGATTCGATGCGTAAGTCATTTCTCCAAATCGTGGCTTCAATAGAGCAATGTTTCGAGTTGGATTCAATGTTATTCGATGAAACAGTTGGTAGATTAAAGGCGTATGATGAGCGTATAAGAGGAAGTGAGAAAGTGGAGAACACTCAAGGTGGGTTGTTGTTGGCTAGTGACGAAAAGTCACATGTTTGTAAGCATTGTGGTAATGGACGTTCAAATCGGGATGACTTTGGATGTGGCCGGGGAAGAGGTCGGGGGTCCGGCAGAAGTCGAGATGGTAATGAACGTGTCCGGGATAAAAGTCACGTTAGATGTTACAAATGTGGTGAGCTTGGTCACTATAAAAACGAGTGTCCTAAATGGGAAAAGGAAGAAGTGAGTCTAATCGAAGAGGAACCGACATTGTTTTGAACGACGAGTGGCTCGTATGACCAAACCGATTAAGGGGGTGATTGTTGGATTAATCAGTTTTATTATTTTAGGAGTTTATTTTGTTTAGTTTAAATATGGTTTAATAGGAAAGTTTTTAGGATTTGTGTTTTGCTAGTTTTGCTATTGCAATAGGATTCTATTTTGTTTTGTATAAAGAGATGTCAAACTTTGAGATTGTTTAGTTTTTTAGAATAAAATATCATAGCAAGTTTTATTTCTTTTTTCTAACGTGTTCACAACAAGAGTTCAATTCTTTTTTCTTTACCTTGGTGCACAAGGTTTAATACCAACCTTTTGTTAACATTACACAACATACAACAGTAAAAAATAAGTTATTGATAACTTTAAAATCACGAGATATTGTTTAACATTGTTATATGTTTAACATTTATTTGCAGCTTTTTTTACCAAATAATATACAGTAAATAACTAAGAATTTAAGTTCAAATATTGATTATCCATACAACTATCATATTTTCTCAAACAAATTAAACAAAATAACCCTTGTTCTAACCTATCTAAAAACAAATATGTACGGAGGTGTGGATGCATTCTCACCAAATAAGAGAGCACTACACCAGAGATGAGGTCAGGCTTAATTTGCCAATACAATCATGTGTTGTGTCTGACAAACTTCCTATATAACCCAAGAAAAGTAATCGGCCCATAGGGACAAATCTTCCTTATAGTCTGATAAGAAGCCTTTCACTCACACTCTCTATCAAGAACGACCTCTCTGCAGTGTGGAGTATTGGCGATGGCTGAATCCAACAAAGCACCTTCATCCTCTCTGGTTTCTGTGATAGGGTCTCAATTCCTAGCACCACATCAACTCGATATTATAGTTGATAGAATTTCAAGCGGAATCCTTTTGATTTCAGATATTAACCATAAAATCATGTTCAAAGTGAAACCATGCGACTCGTTCTTTCATGAGCAGCGAGTACTACTCGATGCTGATGACAAACCCATCGTTGTGATGCGCAATAAGGTGAGTTTATTAACTTTAACTTTTAATATATATATATATATATATATATATATATATATATATATATATATATATATATATATATATATATATTACTTTGGATTGTTTTGAAATTTTGATGCTAAATTTAACATTTAAATGGACTGATTTATTTTCCAGAGCATGACTGCACACGATGGATGGTATGTATTCAGGGGTGACAGTGAAAGCAAATCGGATATGATATTTACCACAAAAAGACATTGCGTGATCCAGCTGTTTAAGAGTGATGTAGATGTGTTCTTGGCAAACAAAACCAGTAGTAAAAATGTTTGTGATTTCAAGGTCGAAGGAAGCCGGTCGAAGAGAAACTGCACTATTTATATGGGAGATACTTCAACCATGATAGCCCAAGTAATTTAATTTTCAAACCTTTTTTAGTTGGTTTTCTAGTAGAGTTCCATGTTTTCAGTTATGTCTGTTTAACTCAAAAGATTCTGTAGATAACTTAAAGCTCAATCTGAAACTTACTAATGACATTTATTCCTGTAGATGTCCAAAATGCTGTCATCGGAGAATATTATAAAGTTCGTTAATGAGAAATTCAAGGTGACCATTTCTCCCAATGTGGATTTTGCGTTTGTGATCACAATTATAGCAATTGTTGAGGCTATGGAAGACTCTCACAAAAAAAAAAGTAAAGGTGTTGTGCAAGTTGTTGGAGGTGTGACTAACGTTGTTGGCTTAATACTCCTTTTATAGTCATATTAGTTGCATTCTCTAGCACCTCCATATAAAATGAAGACTTCGTTGACCTCCATATAAAATGAAGACTTCGTTGACCTAAAAGGGTCGACAGCTCTAGCACCTCCATATAAAATGAAGACTTCGTTGACCTAAAAGGGCACATCTGCAAACTTCATTACCCCAATCTTGTCTCTGAGTTTACTCCAAAATGGCTTCGAGCGGACGTGCAGAACACAGTTGGTCTCCAAATTACGGCCGTCACATGGATGAGAATCATTCGAATGGTGTAACCAACGAAGACATGGCCATCAGTCTACTGCAAACCCAGATGGAACTGTCTCTTATATGGGAGGACTTCCAAGACCAGTTGTGTGAGCTCCGTCAGGCAGTTAATCGACACTTAGATGCCATGAACCTTGAGGTCGATGACGTTCGCGTTGGTCAGATGGATATCTCACATATGGTTGCTGATCTTAAAAATCATCTCGTTTCTCTGCAAGGAGCATATATGAAGATGGTCTTCAAGGACAACAAACGTAAGAAGCTGATGTCTTGTGTTGGGATTTTTGGTGTTGTTTGTGCATCTATGCTAACGTATTTGGTGTTTAAGTAAAAAAAATGTTGTGTAGGTTGAAGCATTTCACTCCTAGGTTTGTGTTTTGGTGTGTTGCCTATGTTGTTTAGTGTCAATATTAGTAGTAGATTTTGTGTGGGTTGCTGGTATTAGTTTGTGATGTTGGTCTGTAGATTTGGTGGTGGTGTTGCTGGGTTGCTGATTTGTCATCGTTTTTTGATGAAGTTTTTTATCGATGATCTCTGTAATAGGTTATTGATTAGCAGAAAGCAATGTAAACGAACCCATGGGTGAAATGTGTTTTAATATGTTATTATTAAAAATTAGGGTTTGTCTTTCACTTGTATCTGTATGTATGCATGAAAGAAAGAAACATTTGGGTATTATATATGTTTCATCGACAGGGACGGCACCACAAGACAAAGCAAAATGAATTTACCTTCTTTATGCGCATAGACAGGGACCACAAATGGTGCAGTTTGGGAAAAAGGACAAAAAATTCTTTTGCACACGATTGAACCATATCTGCTTGTCTGCAAACCTTTTTTAGAAAAAAAAAGGGAATAAAGTTTTCTAAAGATAGCCTTTTCATGTTGAATGGATTAAGTCACAAGTCCCCTGTTTTTTACAATGACTTAATTACCCCTGCATGAAAAATGGTCAATTTACTTTGTAATGACTTAATTACCCCTGCATCTAAAATGGCCAATTTACTTTGTAATGACTTAATTACCTCCACATCCAAAAATGGTTTTAATTTCTAATGATTAAAATGCCTTCACATCCAAAATGTTAAATTTAATTTCTAATGACTAAAATGCCCCCACAACCAAAATGGTCAATTTAAATAGTAATAATTCAAATACCCCCACATCATAAATGGTCAGTTTACTTTATTTTGGCTAAAATGCCCATAATACCCCTAAATATTCGTAGTACACCATAAAAGAACATACAAAGATAATTTGTTTACTGCAACACACATTCACTACAAATAACAAACAACTACTTAATCCAAGTCCATGGCCGTTGCAACACTGCTACCTTCACCTCCTACATTTTTTGCAAGCTTCAGTTTAATGATTCGTTCTGACTTCTTTTGCATTTTAGGTGGTTTAACATGCTTAACTCGAGCATTGACATTCACCCCTTCATCCCGTCCATTGACTCCCACCATTCGCTCTTCATCTCTAGGCCTATCCAAAGCATCAGTAGCATCTATGATTACCTCATCATCCCCTACTCCTGTGGCAACGTTTACAGACTCCTGCGTATGTATAGTTTTTTGTTTCTTTGTTCCATTTTGTTTGGATGTTCCTACACCTTTACTACAAGTAGCCTTGTTGTGTCCTTTCTCCTTGCATATGCTGCAAGAAACTTTCTTCCCTGCCTTGCAGATGGTATGTTTTCCTATCCGTTCAGAAGCATCTATTCTTCTCTTTATGGTTGGCCTTCCTGGCATACGTCTTTTCAATGGAGGCAAAGTGGGTATCAAGTCAGTAGAAGGCCACATATTTTGTCCATTCATCCCATGGATTGGCTGTTTGTAAGTATTATGGTATAATGCAGCCAAGTACATTGGATCTACATATGGACCGTCAGGTGTCAAATTTAAGTAGGCTAAGGTGGCAACTGAATGTACGCAGCCATATCCATTAAGTTGCCAAAGCCTGCAACTGCATTCCTTTTTTTCAACATCCACAATAAACGCCTCGTCCATCTTCCTTGCCTCAAACTTCATCCCCCCACAAGAAATGACATGCCAATACCTACATATATAGATGAAAATCGCAAATATCATGAGATGTGAAGAGTAAAGTACTACTGTAATTGGATAAATATACAAACCTTTGCTCAGTTTGGAGCATATTCAACCGTATTCTGATGTTTGGACAAACAGAATAAGAATTCCATCCTTGTCCGGTTAGTTTCATAGTCACCATCCTTTACATCACATATATACGAATGTCCTCTAACATGCTTATTATTGGTTTCTTCCGGGCATCCAAAATCACACTATTAAAACTCTCTGAAAAACCATTCTCTACTGACTCACAAGAATTATGAACTCTGAAAAAAAGCCAAAGACCAAGTCTTTGGATCTCTAACCATAAGATGCACAATTGCTTCCGGATTTAATTTTCCAATCTCTTTCATAACTACATTAAATTGTGCTTCAGTTGTTGCCTTGCTCGCTTTCCAAAACAGATTTTCAAACTTGGATCCACTAAATCTCTTTCTAAAATTTGCATAAATATGTCTAGCACACTGCCTATGTTCAGCTGCTGGAAATACTTCCTTTACTGCCTCAATCAAACCCTACATAAGTCACATTAATGTTTGAAATTCGAATAGCAATAACTAAATTTAAAACATGCAATAGTTTTGAACCATACCTTGTGTTGATCCGAAATTAGAACCAAACCGTTACCATCATTCCAACATTGCAAATCTTCTGAAAGAGTTTCTAAGAACCATTTCCAAATCTCTTTGTTTTCCACAGAAACAATTGCCCAAGCAATTGGGAATATTCCATTGTTAGCATCTCTACCCACAGCACAAAGTAACTCCCCTTGACAAAAAGTTTTCAGAAAACAACCATCCAAGTTAATGATCCTCCTACATCCTCCCTTCCATCCCTCTTTTACTGAAGCAAAACATATGTATATTTTGCTGAAATAATTCTTACCATCAGGCATTGAATCAACACAAATTTTAACTGTGGATCCAGGATTTGATCTTTTAATCTCCTCACCATATGACCATAATCTTCCATAATTCTCAGCTATTGTCCCTTCAACTAGACTCAATGCATACTTCTTGGCTCTCCTACACGGAGTCATACTCACGTTAATCCCAAAATCTATTTTTACCTCCTCTCTAAGCATTCGGATGCTCATCTTTTGATTGTTATAAAATTGGTGCTTAAAGTGGGTCCCTATCCATTTGTAAGTCACAATTGATCCGAATTTGAAATTCTTTGCACAATTATGCTCACCGATAAGAGATTTTATCTGGAAAGACTTATCTTCACTCATCCAAGAACCCCAAAGCCTAAAAGTACATTTGCCATCACAACATTTGACAAGTAATCGTCTAGTATCATTCTTAACAAAACATAATTGATAACCATTCGCGACAGCATAGTTACAAAGCATGTGTTTCAATTGCTTAGGACTCTCAAACCTCATACCTAAAACAGGTTCCTGCTCCTTCCAATTGAGCTTATCATTGAAAATGTTTGGCAATTCGGGATAAACATCTTCATTGTCACCCATGTCTTCTTCGAAAAACTCACCTGCACCTGCTTTCTCACACATCTCTACCTGACTCTCATTACCCTTTATAAAAAAAATGAGGTTTTTGATGGTCATCCTCATCGCCATCGGCATCCTCATCCTCGTCGTCATCATCATCGCCATTATGTACCTCATCGTTCGTGTCACTGTCACCCACATCCCGATACCCTGGTGTAACTTCCTTAACTAGTCCTGCACCATCAAGTACTTCTTCCTCAACGTTACCAACAAACTCATCTTTGTGTTCATCCAACCATTCCTGTATGTTACTATCCCCAAAATGGTCTACGTACATAGGGAGTATAACACCACATTCATATGCAATTTCAATGAAGTCGTAATAATCGGGGTCATTGCAAATTAGAGTCAAACCTTTTGGGAAATCAATATCAGGTTGGCAGTAATAGAGCTTCTCACACTTTTCCCCAGTGAACCTTTCGATGAATGCAACACACCCATCCTTGTCCATTCCTGCGAAATCAATGTCCGAAAACCTCTAAGTAATTCCACCGGTGTAGCGTATGGGGTTTCTGGCGAACATTCCTTGGAAGTGGACATCTACTTGTAAGAATACGGGTTTCATGCTTGAGGATTCAGAAGCAGCTCACGAAAAAGGGTTTACCGATGAAGTGTTGAACAGTGGATGTAAAAGGGCTCTTTTATAAAGCATATACGAACATTACGAAGGAGGCGACTAATTACAGACATGGCATTAGACGAAAGTCACAGTCAGCATCCGATGTGGTGTTAGTAGAAGGAGGTGGAATTAAAATGACTGCCTAACCCCTTCATGTAACATCCCGGAATCGCGGGAGTAGAGTTGAAGGACCAAAAGTGTAAGTTTGGAGGGTGACTCGGCGAGTCCATGGATAGACTCGGCGAGTCAGGTCGCGGCTATGGTCGCGTGTCAAGTGGCCTACTCGGCGAGTCCTCAGGATGGACTCGGCGAGTAGGTGCTGTATGAAGAAAACCCTAATTTTCGGGGTTGAGCCCTATATAAAGAGCCTTACACCCCTCCACAGCCTCCCTTATTCCCCCCTTGAGTTCCAGAAACCCTAAGTTCGTGGAGAGATCATTTGTGGAGCAAATTAGAGCTTGGAGAAGTGTGGTTTGAAGAGATCTTGAAGGAGAAGTGGTTTGGA